CCTGTTGTAGGGATGACTCATAGACACTGCGCACCTGTAAATCAATAGCTAGTATTGCTCACTTCATGAAATAAAAATATAAAACTAAATCAAGTAGTAGCAGCAATACTAAATAGCTTTTCATTATTTAATCCATACAATATCTGTATCAAGACATTAAGTGTTAGTACTATTCATTGTTAACTATTAAAATTAAAACCTGATATAGTTACGTGAATTCATACTCCTGAAATCTAGGGCTTTGTAGAAGATCTCAAAACTATTAGAAATCTAGGACTTTGTGACAAAACCCCATACATCTTCAGTAGTTAGTACAGCCTCTGGAAATAAAACAAATTATTACCTTTCAATGATACAGAGAATAAACAAATCTCTTCAATGGTGCCTGGTGATGCATTTTCTGCAATCTGGGATACTGTAGAAGTTGTCGGGTCAAATGCATAGACATACAGATCTCTTTGGAAGGGATTTTTTCCATGTCTTATGGTGGGGAGACATTATAATCTTGTTAGAATTTGTAAATGTTAGGTCTCCTACTGAGTTAAATTTTGTCAGGCAAATATTCCGTGGATATAGCACTATGAATTTATCTCACTTTCACCAAAATCTTCATATATGATGAAAAATCATCTTAGGAAGTTGCTGCACTTTTATTTTGAACAAAAAAAAAATTAATAAAGTTTCTAATTTATTCAAAATTATATTCCTTTCAAAAATATGATTATTTTTCACTTTTTAGAACTTATGTCTATTTATATCTTTTCACATAACAGGACAAATGTTTTAAATATTTTTATTTTATTAAAATTTAGAAATGCCTTCTCTATTAGGAGTAATGAACTGAAATTCCCTTACTTCTACAGCTACATTTCATGAATATTGAAAATTTTTTAACCGTTTTTACACAGTGGGGATGAGGCTTTAATTCTATTCCAGGACAGATAAGAATCGTTATTTGTGGCTAGCGTTATCTTTGGTAGTTTGATTGTACAGTTATTATAGAAGCACTTTTTCTAAAAATAGCCACTTTGTATTTTAAAAGAAAGCAATTAATTGTGGACTCGTCACTCACTAAGTAAACAGCTAATTGTAACAAGATGAGAAATGTTAGTTGTATTCTACCCAGTGTTGGTATATTTTTGTGGGGCATGGGATCATCATGGAACTTGGTGATCAATCAGCAATTGTATACAGTATGTCCAGACAGTGTTCTGTAGAATAAGAAGTGGGGGCGGACTAAAATTCTCATATTTTTTGCAGTGACCTGTTGTTGTTGTTGTTGTCCCTATCTTTTTAGTCTTCACTCATTTTTATCATGCTTACAATATGTGATAGTGCTGGCAAAAAATTCTGGAGTTAGTCCCTCTGATCAACCTAGCTCTGAGGTTTCCTCATAAATCAGAAAAAATGCTGTGACTCTGAAAAAGATGTGTAAAGGATTTAGAGAGTCTACTTCCCTCTTATGTTTGAAAGTAACCTTGAAATATTTCTAGAATTAACACTGCCAGAAATAATGAACACACACGTTGTCAATGATAGTGCTTGATTGACAAGGTATTGGCAATGTATATGCAATAAATGTGAGGGAGCTTTCTTCTAAGTAAGAGAGAAGGATGGCTGAGCAGATATCTATCCATTTCTTTGTCTAAAAATTACATCATGATTGACAACTGGTTTCTTCAGTATGTTCATGAATTGACTTCAGTGGTAAAAGCTTATTTCTGCTTTGTTAGTGGAATATGCTACCAATTCTTCAGGTCCACATGGATATACTTGTGCAGATAAATTCGTTTTTCATTTATGTATATTTTCCAAGCCTGACCAGGTAATACATTCACATAGGCCTCATTTTACCAAAACAGCTCTGTAAAGTTTTGAGCTAAACTGATATTGGGCAATGAAGAAGAGAGAAAATATAATACGGCATTATCTCTGACTATTGGTAGAATTGGAGTCATGTTTGTTAAACTCTAGAAATTCATACTGTCTTGTATCTTCCACACAAACTGACTTTGTTTTCAAGTGTGGGTGTTTCTTGGGTTTTTTTGCAGACTTAACTCTCAATAAGAATTAGTCACGTTGCTTTTGGCTGTTACAGTTTTTTGGTAAAAGTTACCAGTTTTCCATTCGTGAACATGAGCTGTTCTGGTACAGCACAAAACATTCCTCAGTACGAATAGATTTCCTATTGTACCTCATTCTCTTTCTGCATGGAGCAGCGGCAATATGGCATGATGGACACGTTGAATGAGAACACAAAGCAAATGAATCCTAGAAGGTATACTCGATTTAAAACAGTTCGGTAGTTGTTCATTTCTGAAGTAAAATAAAGACAAAACATATGAAATAACAGTAAAGCTTTCAACTGAAAGCTACAAAAAGGCAAGTAATAAATTTAATTAAAAATCCCATTTGCTTCAGCTACCCTTATTTTATTTTGTGGCTTTGTTAATCACTAGAAAGTAAGTGAAATGGGATTGATAGCTCGTCTCCTCTTTGTTGTAATTGTTACCTAGTAGTTTTCTTTTTTAATATTTTATCTCTCTTTACTCTTTGTTCTGCATGTCAAAATCTAGTCACTTCCTGGATTGTATGCTTCATACACTCCAAAATACAGTTCAGTGAAATAAGTACTGCTGATTCCAACTAAAATGTGTACCAGCCTAAATTCTTCATCCTATGAGATAAAGAGGTTTGAGAGAGAGAAAGAGAGGGGTTAGAGGAAAAGGTCACGGTAGAATACTTATAGCAACTTCTAGCCTTTACAGAACAATATATTATCAAATGAAATCATGTAGACTTATGGCTTGTTTTACACTTGGAAGAAGAAAGGTTCAGGGGCAGAGTTTACTGTCTCAACTTCTTTCACAAGTGATATCCACTTACTCTTACGTATCTTAAAAGGTGACTTGATAACTTAAAGTTGGTAATGCTGTAACTTCTCCACTTATTTCTTCCCTATACCTCAGTAAAAAGAAGTATTTTTAAAAAGGCAGAGGGTAGCTGGACTTTTCCTGTACTTTGTCTATCCACATCTGTCCTTTCAATAGAGAATCCATGCCTGTAAGTTTCTGCTTTGGCTATGATTCTTCTGAGCTGTGTGTCTGCTACGTAAGTGAGGAGAAGGGTGAATTTTCTGTGAAGGCTGAGGATATGGTATGGTTTCTCTGATGGAATTCGGGACTTCAGTGTCTTGATCTACTGTTCTGCAGATTGCAAATCATCTTCTGTCCATGAAATAAATACTATTTATGAATTCTAAGGTATAAACCATATCAGAAGCAGAAAGTGCTCGTCGAAGAGGCTCATGTTGCAGATGAAGTTTTTGGCATGCAGTTCAAGCTGATGAAATTTGTTGTGATGTGTGTGTGTTTATTTGCACACATAGATATAAATACCTGCTACACTGCAAATTGTGCGTTGACAACCACCGTGCTATTTTAAGGAATAAAGAGCTTAAAATTTCAGAGTTGATTTCAGATACTGAATCAAATATTCTGTCATCATATTGTTACTCCTCTGTAGCAACCAGTGTTGAGTAGGAAGTGTTGTGTTTAAAGGCAAAGTCAACGTTTTTTCTTAAAGAATTGCTTTAAGTTAATGCAGCGATTCCATGTGAGAGCATCCCTGTGTATATTATACACATGCGTGTAACTAAATCTGTAGGACAGTTTGTTGATCATAGAATCATGGAATCTTTAGGTTGGAATAGAACTCCGAGATCATGAATTCCAACTGTTGACCTAATACCACCATGCCCAGGTCATGATAGGCATAGACTAAAGTGTAACAGTCCTCTGTAAAGGATTTACAAGGCTTTCTGACAAGCAGCAGCATGGCAGAAGGGTTATCTGTGTGTTATCCAGCCGCCATGAAAACACAGCAGAAAGGGAGAAGATATGGGCTAGTTTAAAGCGTTTGTCTAGTGTGTCACTGTGCAGCAGCTCTCCCAACGCTTCTTCCCGGCGAGCTGGCTCTGCACGGTACGAGTGCAGTCACTCGGACAGAGGCAAGGTGCAATCTTTTGTCTTTGTGAGCCCAAATTAAACCAACCCTTGAAGGGGTTTGAAGTTACAGGGCCAGAAGAACAGGAGGTGGTTGTTCTCTGAAACAGAGTCGTGTGACCTGATGCTTCTTGGCTCTCACATTATAAACTGATTCAAATGTTATTCCCCCACTGTTAGGTACAGCGTTTTGCTTAGTTGCTTTTGTGCCTCCTTTGTGCCGCTCTGGGGAGGTGCTCGGGGTTCCCCTTCTCTGCTGTGTGTCCCGAGGTGCCTATCAGCCAGACCGCACAAAAGCTGAAGGTGTGAACAAAAGCCGCAGAAGCAGTTGTGGGAGAGTACAGGAAGGCTAACAGCGTTCACAGGTGGATCGGTGGTTTATGCCTTCCTGCGTCCAAAATGCAGGCTGCCCTTTGGCAAAACCAAGCTTGTGCTTATCTAAGACTTAAGGCTTAAAATAGGTACTTTTCCTCTGTGGCTGTAAGGAAGATTAGGTCTGTCATCCATGCTGGAATGCTTCAGCTAAATTTAACTCTGGCTGCTGGAAAGATTTACTCATAGGATTATGGCACAGCTGTGGGAACTACTGCTATTGTTTTGGTTGGAGATTTCTGAGTCAACCTCAGGGGGCAAAAAAAATTATGTATTTTTTTATACATAGATGCTAGTGTGGATGATGCCAAATCTGAAAGGAGGAGGTGCACAGCTGAGCAGCGTCAGGAAGCAAGTTGTGCAATAGCACAGTGCAAAGCCATTGCTATTTTAGGAGGCCAGTGCCTCCCCACGTGGTTACCTGCACATGTGGCTAGAAACACAACAGTCAAGCCTATACCAAGCTTTACATCTTGTTTTCTTTTTTTAAAAAAAAAGTCATTGCAATAAATCAGTAAGCAGTTATGTTCTGGTCCGTGAAAACGGTGTGGCGTTGCTTGCGTTCGCTGACGCGTTTTGGTCGTGCATTTATTTCAAGGTGTCCTCTCTGTATTTCCCTTCCAGGTTCAGGTCCTTCGCAACGCAGGGGAAGAAGTGACCCTGACTGTGTCCTTTCTGAAAAGAGCACCTGCTTTTCTCAAACTGCCACTGAATGAAGATTGCGCATGTAAGCCTTTCTACTTGGCCAAAAGAAAACTTGATTCCATGCTCGTAAACGCTTGCAGCTTCCAAACCCATTGTGCCTCGAGGGTGATTGACAGCAGCTTTTTTGATAAGTATTGCTGCTTGAATATGAGCTGCTGGTATTGTCAGGTCTTGTAGCAACATTCACCTCAAGCAAAAAATTTCTTGAAAAATAGATCACCAGGCATTTGGCTGCTTTGAATCAGCAAAGTTGAGGTGGGATTCCATTAGCTCTGCATCCTGACGCAGAGTATTTAAAAGCAGCTTTTCAGGCAGCAACAGATAACATTTTAGTCTGAAAGAGTTTTTGTCTTGTAAATGTGAAAATGAGATTGTGTGTGTATATTTAGAGGACTTAACTTCACCATTTAAAATTCAGAGGCTTTGGTGGAGGTGTCTTGTCTACCTAAAAATAAATTACTCTGGGATGATTAGTATTTTGTTTAAGTCCAACTGAGTTTTAGTCAACTAGCCCCATGAGAGACATATGGAGACAGCTGTCTTCCTTTAATTATATTAAATTGTGAATGTGGGTGCATAATTATAGACAGTTGCAGCATATCTAAGCATATTTATGTCAGCCTGCGCCTTTTGTCACCACTGCTTTCCTTCTGCTTCTTAATCCTAAGAGGGTAAAATGAATTGCTGCATTTTTAAGCAACAAAACAATAAATATTTTATTTCAATACTTTTAGCCTTTGATTTTAAGTTAGTAGGAATTAAATAAACTAAATTATGAAATAATATTTTACACAATCACTTGTTGAAATACTGTCTTTATCTTTTGCCTAGGTATTAAAAATTATTAGTGAAACAAGAAAAAATTTAAAGCACCATATTCTTAAATAAAAATGTATCCAGTACATTTGTCCCTTTTATGAAAGATTGTGGTACTGCGGACCTCCCTGAGTAACGCACACAAACATGCATTTCCATCGATCCTGTCATGTTACTTTTGAGGTGTAGCACTGTGATTTCCTAAGCTGCTACAAGAAGTTAGGACTGCAAACTTCACTGAGTACCAAAAGCGTTACCTGACTAGTTCCTTCAAGGGAAGACCAAGCGAGGAAGTACACGTTTTCTTTTATTATCAAATTTGTGAAAACCTTTGGGTTTTTTTTCTCCTTACCAAAGAGATTGTTAAATCTTTTAAGCTAAGCACCAGGAGAAGGATTCTTGATCCTCCACTCGTCTTAAAAAAGCACTCTGCTCAAACCAGAAGGCAGATGCTGTCTGAAGGGAGAAAGTAACTGAATGTGCGATGTGACAAAACTGGTGGCGGGAGGGGAATACATGCATGCAGACATAGGCACACAAATTTGAATTATAGCATTAGAGATTAATGATGACTTTTTGGTGTATTCATGTTTGTATTAGGTGCCCCCAGTGACCAAAGCAGTGGCACATCCTCTCCCCTCTGTGACAGTGGTTTGCATCTCAACTACCATCCTAACAACACAGTAAGAGCTTATGTTTCTTTGATGGATTTACACAGGAGAGTACTACTAAGTGGAAGTAACTAATAAAGGACAGTAACATGTGAGGAGCTCTAATTAACATTGGAGATAGACAGTTCTATAGGGGGCAAAAAGAGTTGCCAGATATTATGGCTGCAAATTAAACTATGACAAATTATACGAGCTGAAATTTTGCCTTGATGGGTATGATTACTATTTTAATCTGGGCAATAGGGATTTTGCAGATGTTTTTTCTTTCTAGATTGTTTGCACAGGATAGGAATTAAAATTATCAAAATGGAAATATATCTATTTAAAGAAAAGGTATCAAACTTTTTCAGAATTTTTTTCCATGCTTTTTATTTCATTTCTTATCCAAAACTTGGCAAAGGATGATTTAGATTCATGTTTTTTGCCTGTTTTTAAGGTGAGAGCATTTTGCTTCTAGTAACTCGCACTTAATATCTTACTGAAGAATGATAGCGTTATGGAGTAAAGTCTCTTTAGGGTGAAATGCTACAGACGTCCAATGAGATTTTTAGTAATGAAGTGCAACAAGGGGCTTTTAACAATTTTCTTAGCCAGGAAATGCAAAATTTCCATTATTTTGTGTAGTTCTAAAGGGTTTTTTGCTGCATGTTTGGCTTTGTGATAGGTGAAAATACTCAGATAAAATAAAAATCACTGAATAGCTAAACCAATATACAGCATAATTATTACAGATATATTAAAAACCCCAAGAATGTAAGCACTGTTTGGTAGACTTCGTGTTTTTTAATTTCTAGCTTGTTTTGTTGTTCTTTCATACTTTACTGGCAAAGATTTTAAATAGGAGCCCGGAGTCTTAGAAGCCAATAGCACAGATTTTAAGCCTGATTATAATCTGGAAAAACTTCAGGATTTATGCACTTTTATGGGAGCAGGAATTCATAAAAATGGGATAAACCCCATAAAATTGGTAAAATAATTTAAAAAAATAATAAATTAACATTAATAGTAAATTAATAAAAAACTAGTGCAACAACATCAGGAACAGACTTATCTCAACAGTCTATATATGTATACACGTAGAGAGGCTATTGCAGCTGATCCTAAATTTTTTTTGCTAGCCACTTGGTTTCTAACTTCACTTTTAGGATAAAAAACATGTTTCCATTTGTGAATTCTATTTCTGTAGTTATTGAAACTGATCTAAATTAGCTATAGTTGCCATTTGAGCTGATAATAATTTGCTGAAACCAAGTCTTTTACTCTTAGTTTAAATAATATAAGCGAGCATTGTGAGTCTATCATTCACCCTAAATTAAATTCTTCCGCTGAAGACCGGGATGTGTTTCTTATCTCAGATGTCTCCTTGTAATGAGAATAAAATGCTTCATAAAACCAAATGAGAGCTCTGTATGAATTCCTAAATTATGTACAACTCATGTCATAGTCCTTCCTTTTTCTCAGAATATTCTCTAAAATGCCTTGTGACTTATAGCCATAGTCTGTTGCTTAATTTATAGCCCTGGTAATTCACAAGAAGGAGACTTCTGACTCAGAGTTTGGAGTAGATAGGACTGGGTTTGGTCTTTTGTCAACAATTCAGAGTTATGCAAGCTAAAGGTAGGGTTAACGTTTCTGTTGCAGCCAGACCTAGGCCGACAGGTTTGAATCCCTACTTTTTGCTGCATTTCAGCTTTTTCCTCCAGTTTAATCACAGCTGAAAAAAGGTTCCTGAAAGCAGACAGAAATCGTTAAAAATTCAAGGACATGTTCAAAACAATGTCCTAGCTTAGTCGTCCTAGCCAATCATTTATTTATTTGGATTGAATCTACGGAATGTTTCACCAGAGATTCAGTCTTTTAAATAAGTGAATCTACTTATGAAAAGCCTGCTCTTCAGCTAAATTGGTGTTCATAGTGATCTTTTATTTTATATACATGAACATCTATGTAAAAGTAAAGTTCAAGTTGGCAAAGCTTTATAATTCTGTAGATCTTACACAAAAATCACACTAGAAAAATGCAAGATGTACTTAATTTTTGTAGTATTTATTTTATAGAAGGTACAGGTAAGAAAAAATATGAAGTCTGAGATTTAAAAAATCGTAAATGATGCAGGAGCGACAGGTACAATTTTATTGAAACACTGAAAGTACTACATACATTTCAGCAAGAATTGTGCTTCTTCAGAAAAATCACTAGCAGTGTTTTGTAAAGCATTTTATAAAGAAAGGAAGAGGTATTGGATTTTTAAAAATAAATATTGATCATTTCACTTTTTATAAATGTTTCTCGTTCAAATCTATATTCTGTAAAAATACTGGTGAAATTAGACTGTAGATATTTAAATACTCGTTCTTTGTAGATATGATCATAGACATGATAAATTTCAATTTTCATATATGTAACCTTTTGTGTAAATAGTAAGATTAAAATATTCATCGTAAGCATGTAGTTTTGTCTAAACAATTTTCATCATCTGTTAAATCCCATTCACAATTATCAGATTTTTGAAGTGATGTCATTAGAATATACATATATGTCAATGTGCATGGGGCCACAGGAAACAACTGAGTTATGATTGTATAGTGAGTAATTCAGAGATCACCTTTATTCAGGGTACAGGTATAAAAGTAGTAGCTGATGATATGGTATGTAGTAAATACTCGCTTCTATTCATGACTAGTCATTTCAAAACAAAGACACAATCTGTTTTCCCTAGGTTTTTAGAATGCTGTTCCTCGCACTTCGTCTAAGCGTATTGATGTTGAGGTTTATATAGTTTTGTTTTATTTGTGAGAAAAAAGTTCAAAATCTCTTCAGTGCTAGCTAAAACTGATGCCGAATGATTTGGGCAAAGTGTAACACAATGCCAAATGAAATATAAAGTCTTTGAAGCCTATCTCTCTCTTTCCACGTCTGCTGAGTACTTATAGTGAAACCTAAAACTGAGAAGGAACTTTTTATGTTTTTCAGGATACATTATCATGTTCCTCATGGCCAGCATCCCCAGGACTTAGGTGGGAAAAAAGGTGGTGTGATCTCCGATTAATTCCACTTCTTCATTCACGGTTTTCCCAGTACCTTCCCGGATCAGACTTATGCAGGTAAATAACTTTAGAAAGTTGAAACTTGACTTCTTGATTGACAGGTACAAGCCTTAGGGGCTTGCCTTGTTAGAGGAATGGCTTTATTAGTTCCACCTCAGTTGTCAGAGACATGAAACATAGGAGCTTTCATAAAGGTCTGTCTAGGTCCACCTCGGCCCATATTCTGCTCTGATGTCAGCCAGAACCAGGCGTGTGGGGAAGACGTGTGATCTTCCCACTTGCAGCCAGTGGCCAGCACGTTTCTCGGTTTGAGACACATGTCGGTCATTGTATTTAATAACTGCTAATGCTCCTGTCCTCAAAAGCTTCTTTCTAAGCTGCTTATTTTTGTACCTTTGGTTTTTGCAATTCACTGTGGTGTTGAGCTGTGCAATGTAATTGTGTTTTTTAAATGTGCTTCCTTTTGTTTGTGTTAAGTCTCTCACCTGATAACTTCATTGGGGGAAATAATCTTGCTGTTGGGGAGCAGCAAGGGCGGGCAGCCCCATGGGGAAGGCGAGCCAAGAGCAGAGGATGGCAGCGGGGCTGGAGGAGGCAATGTCCGTGCAGACAAGGGCCCCATCCAACTGTCCCAGCTGGAGGAGCAGAGCAGGCCTAGGAGTGGTCTTCAGATGAGTCCGTCATGGTGCAGCAGGGCTCAGGTCAGGCTGGGGGGTAAGCCCACATGTTGGGTCCAAATCAGTGCGATACGTGTCCATGCAGAGCCATAGCTGCAGCCAAGTTCGGGTGAGGACCAAGGGCGAGGGCCTGAGCTGACCCCCAGCTCCCGAGTGAAGACAGGGACAGGGCCCCCACCTCGAGCTCTCTCCCGGCAGCCTGATCCCACGCCCCACAGCCACGCCATGGCAGAGCTGGCCTCAGGCACAGGCAGCCGGGCGCCCAGGAGGGGGAAGAGGACAGACTCTGGGCCTTGACCCTTGTGTCAAGGGAAATGCCAAATAAGCGTTCTTCGTTTATGTTTTTGTAACTCAGGTGACTCTCTTCTGTTTTCTAGTTTGAAGGATCCCTGTTGTTATCTCCTTTTAGGGAAACCCTTCCATAGGTCTGATTATCCTTGTTATTCTCTGTTTCTTTCTTAATTCTACTTATTATCTATGAGAGAAGGTGATCAGGACTGCAAGGAGGATTATATTAAGACATAATGATGTTTTCAATTTGTGTCTCTGTTCTTATCTAATGCTTCATAGTAACCTATTACCTTCTGGCTATCACTGAGCACTAAGGTGATGGTTTTCAGAGCATCGTTTGTAGTAATTCTTGTATTTCTTTCGTCAGTGTTTATAGCTACAGTAAGTTTCTTTGTTGCTTATGTATAAGGTTATTTTTTCCCATATGTGTTATTTTGCGTTTGTTAACATTGAATTTCAATGTTATTTTTTCTCCCAATCACTGGGGAAGCTGTCTTAAGCTAATGCTCAGGTTTAAATTTGTTGCATCGTATAGACCTAAAACTTGTCACTTTTCGTTTAACATTATTCTAGTAAATCAGAAGAAATCAGAAAGGAAGACAAGAATATTCTGGAATGATTCCTATTTTTCAAGTGTTAGGCATTTAAGTAGAAAAGAAAGCTACAAAATCAACACGGCAAAGTATATAAATAAGGTCATACTCGTTAAAGTTTAAATACATAGGTATTGTGTGGATTAATTTATCATCTCTATATATAAGAATAAAGCTCTGATACTAAAAAATTCTGTGAGTTCCGGCATGTAAGTCATTAACTGGGGGTGAGCTGTTTACAGTTATAAAGCATTTTTCTCCATTACTTCTTCTAACCCCTCAGAAATATTAACTCTTAAAATAAGCACAAAGGACTTACCATTTGTGAGGCTGTGAGGCCTTACTAGTTGAAATAAACTCTCGCTTTCCCAAGTGGCCTTCATCTCTGCCAGCTTAGATGTGTGAGTCTGGAAGAATAGCGTGTTATGCTCTACCCTGACGGCTCATCAGACAGAGATTTCAAATTTCCTGTTCCTCCATTCATACACATGTAAAATTACCTAATTAATACAGAAAAGCTTGATTAATATTTCTGGAAAGACTGTTTTGTGGAAGAACCACCCCAGTATCTGTTCTCTGTTGTTACACTCGCCCTTCCAGTGTTTCTATGGGTCCTACAGGCAACTAATCCATCTGCTCCCAAGGAGGAGTTTACGATCTCCCCCAGAAACTAGGGGCAGAGGAGTGTTCTTCAACCTCAGCTGGGGGTTTGCATGGCGTGAATTTTATTGTTTCTTATCACAACCTGCTTCCTTCTCGTTGGTTCTCAGCGAACACCTGAAAGTTGCACAGAAGTCTCCCATGACCTCAGTTAATTCTAGGGGCTGTTGTTTCTTAGGAGCACACTACCTAGGTCTGCCAGCCATTTTCCTGTTCACAGAGCTGAAATTAAAGCAGGTTAGTCTATAGCCATTTCGCCGCTAGATAATTGTGAAGCTAAAACAGCCTGCAGCTTCTGAGTGGTAATAGCAAAATCATATTTACTTGGCTGCATGATCCTTGTTTTATTGAGGAGTAATGGCTGGCCCAAGGAGTCAAGGTGTAAACCAAAGGCTACAATGGCTTATTGGCTGAGCTGAAAGGGAACAGGATACACTCACCACAGAGGCAAGAGATTTGTATTAAATTCTGTGAAAACCTTCAGCTCAATGTTTAACAGTGGTTAAAATGGAAATAATTAAGTGCATGAGGGGACGCTTAAAGGGTCCAAAATCATAACAGTCAAATCTGAGATCTGTTCTGCTGTATACTTCAGATAACATACTGAATTGAATAGAATAGAACTACTCACATGGAAAATTAGGACATATTCCACTATTCACAGATCTAGAGTTTTAAAATTCAGTCTTCTGCATGAATAAAACACAACCTTAAAGTGCACGTTATAGAACTTCTACATTTCAGAGAAAGATTTTTAGGTAACAGTGTTATGCCTGATAGTTGAATTTCCAGAAAATAAATTTAGTTTAATTTTAAAATAAATTTAAAAGCATATTCATACAAAACAAAATATCTGAATTCATACTCAAACCTTGAACAACTACTCTAAAAATTTTCTTCTTATGTCCTTCTATGCTGTCTAATGTGAGGAAGTAAGAGTACTTAAAGGAAATAAAAGTGCAGTATAAATATGAGAGAGGAAGTGGGTTTTTCTTCAAAAAAGTATAGAGCAAACACTTTGTGTGGCTAGCAAGACAGTTTATAAGAGTCTTTTAAATTAGTGTAAACATTTTAAAATGGGACTCTCAAAATTTGTTATGAGAGAAAGGTAGATAATTTTTAAAAGAGACTGCTGTAAAGCAACATTAAGGCCGATAGGATAAGGAAGCAACATAAAATGGAATTTAATTCATTACATTTTCTGTAGTTAATGTTTACAAGGCTGTTTTCACTAGATAAAGCCTAATAACTTTTTATGTTCAGGGTTTGAAAAGACTGGCACAGAAATACATCATATAATTATCACATACACTATTATGCTTCATAACTGTATTCTAGCTTTTCTGGTGGGATGCTTGAGATGCATGAAATCCAGAGGGTATTCACATAAAATTCCAGGGGGCATTCAGGTTAGTCTTGGAAAGCATATTATTTTCAAATATAACTCTTGAGTTTCAGAAGGTACACAACCTGAGATGTGTAGTTGAATAAGAATCCATCTGACCTTAACTTTTTTTGGTGAATTATAAAGTGATTAATCTACTATTTGTTCTATTTAATACAAAACATGCATTTAATACCTTATTTTTTTCAGGTTTATGTGATAGTATGGACTTTGGCTGGTAGATTAATTCAAGAAAATACTATTACAATAATCTAAGGCTAAGGATATCTATTGCCCAGACCACATTCAGATGTAATTTATTATGTAGCCATGCATGTTATAGTCTGTGCTTATTGATACTTGGGCAAGAGCATTCTGGATGAATGGGTTTATATGTGCCCAGATCAAATACATAGGAACGGGAGGAACAGTATGATGCCCCAAATGCGTCAGATTTGCTGTTTGTAGCGTAAGGGAAATTTGTGCATCAGGATTGAACCTGGAACATACTGTGTTTTCTTTGCCTGTGAAGGTTAGTATCACACATTAATAGATTCCTTGGATTCCTACTTTTGATTTACAATAAGCTGAATAGAAAGAAGGAGGTTCTGAAAATAATGCTATTTTTATTGAAAGACGTAATCAAGAAAGTAGCCTTAAGCATCATGCTATGCTTTGTATGTAAGAACTTATTTAGAATTTTATTCTGGAAGAATTTACTATTTATATTTTTAGCCATTTAAAATAAAGGACATAGTAAACAAATGCTGGCTTCCTCAAAAACGTTACCTGAATCATTGTGAAAATGAGTCATTGAAAGAAATAGCTCTCAGTTTGTACCTTTGGATTTTAAGGAAAAATCATTACCTATGAGAAAAGGCAACTAAACTGATAAGTTAGCTGATAGATTTAGATAAACCACTGGTCTTTGCATGATCGTGTTAGGATATATAAGCATTATCCTCCTGGAAGAGCTAGTTCTCATGATGGGACTCTCAAAGCAAAGGCATGGCTCTGATTAATTTTTGATGCTTCTCCTGGCTGAAGGAAATGCCTGTACTTGACAAGGATGCAGCAAAGACCTTTATGGTAGAGATAAATATTGGCTCTACATTCTACACAACTAGAAAATAATTTCAAGAGGTAAAAACCCCAGCTTTGCAGAATGGATATCTGTCTTGAGATGTTCGAAGTGACAGTTTTACACTGAAGCTAACACTGACTTTGCCTGAGCCGTTCTCAAAGAATGTGAATGATGTACTTTATTTTAAACCATTAATTGATCGCTAACAGATTGGTTTATAGCAGAATGCCAGCAGTGGAACTTGGTACTCTGTATGTTTAGTAATCTCTTACTCTGAAATATGGATTAATATTGAGGGGTTTTGGTTCTGAAGCCAGACACCTGTGAGCCTTCCAAAGGCTGTTAGCCAAGAAGGCTGTTTAGTGAAGAAATTAGGTTTGCTGCTGCTTTAGCATCTGAAAGTTTTCTCTTGTTCTGCAACTGCTCAGCTCTCAGCTGTGGAGAGTCAGTCCACAATGCATGACAGGTTATCGTGTGCGTGCCCAGACTGGTGCTGGGGTAGAGGCACCCAAGTGGACACTGCTTTTGTCTCTTGGCATTCCAGAGTGTTTTGCTAATGATCCTATATTCCAAAATGCAATTGAAAAAATCATTAATGCTACCTGATAGATTTTGAATTCTCCAGCTTTTCTATCAGTAGTTTCGAAGAGGATCAAAATTGTGTAACCAAGAGCAGCCAACAAGGGGTATCCATCCAGGAATCTTACTGTATTTAAACAATATATTAGAAAAAAATATAAACAGAAGTTGTTGAGCGAAAGCTACTGTATTCTACTGAATTTCTCAAATGATTGCCTGCAGTGTCCAGTGCACACTTTCCTTCCCTGTGATCTGCAGTATTAAAGTATTAACTCTTTGTATGCATCAGCTATTTCACTTTACCTTCTGAAGTCACACAGTGTTGGTCAAGATTCCGTGGAGGCAGTCCATGGAATTTTTTTATGGCTTTATGGAAACCTAATATAGTCTGGGTTGACCTTTTAGCATGATCTTTTTAATATGTCAGGTATTTATAAACCAGGAAAACCAGCAATTTATCAGTGTTCCGTAGCTGACCTTCATTGTAGTTGAAAGAAAAGCATTTCTACAAGTATTGTTAAGATGATATGCTAGAACAGATGAAATTTTCTTCTGACCTGATCTGTTATGACATGTCTATAGGCAAAATGCGTTCCAAGTAATTGCTGTGGATGGGGTTTGCAGTGGAATAATTCAGTGTCTCTCTGCTGAAGACTGTATTGACTGGCTACAAGCAATAGCAAGTAACATTTCCAACCTCACAAAGCACAATGTAAGTATGGATCCAAGTAAGCCAGAAGGTTTCCCAATCATATTTGATTGTAACTGTCATAAAAGCCTAATGGGTTCACACACAGAATTATCTGCATATAAACAATGCTTGAGGCTGTCTGAGAGAAGTCAACTCAAGTTTGTCATCAAATCAGACTTTGTGAGAAGTCATTGAATGGGAAAATATTCTCCCCTACAGTCATATAGTTCATCGCTATCAGAGTTACTCGCTTCTTAGCAATACCAGCCAGCATTAGAAACAAAGACCAGACATGCAGGAGAAGGCCTGGTGTGATGGGTAAGCACACGCAAAAGCAAAAAATTCTGTACTTTCTTGATAGTTTGAGAAAACACATCTAATAAAGACTGGTATAATCAGATCTGAATTAGATCTTAGGTCTGTTGAGGTATCATTTAACACAAGGAGTACAGCAAGGTGCTTCTGTCATACAGATTAAGATGTTTATTATCAGCAAAGATTAAATGCATTTATGCTTCATGCACTGTACCTTTATGATCTGATCTTGTAGGATAGATGCCTCTTTTTACTGCAACAAGACTAAATATTATGCAAAAGTTTTGCCAAACTACGAGTAAGTTCTATTGAAAGGTCTTCTGAACCTGCCTAGGATGTATTTTGCATTCGATAGATGACGTGTAATTTTTCCTCTAGAAGTCTATATGATACCTTTCCTGTTTTTCTTCAAAAAGATACAGAACACATGGGTAACTCCTTTATTTTTAATTGAGTTGTAACAAGGAAGCCCTTGAGGATTTAATTTATATTCTCTCAGATTTCCTTAAATCTGCTTTAGCCTCCCAAACCTACCTCTGAATTTGCATTTGTTTCAAATACAGGGAACACATTGAAGGAAGTTGTATTTCTTGGAGATTTGTATTCAAGATGCAAAACTATGTTCCATCTGGCAGCAATATCTAAAAGTCATTGTATTATAAAAACATGACAGACATGAATTCATCCACCATCTGCAAGCTTCCACGCAGTACAAGCCAACTTTATGGCTATTTATTCATCCGTACAATGCTGTTGCTGTGTAGAACCTTTCTTGTGTCACTAGGCATCCTGACAAATGAGGGTGCTGATTTTTTCTCTTGCCATCTTTAGTTCAGATTATTAAAGATTCTTCCTGCCTAAAGCAATGTATTTGTGTACTTATAACAATAGATAGATGCACCTAAATTTTATCTGATAATGCTTTATGTAGCTCTGATGAGACTATAATTATGGCTGGTTAGTGTAACTTGAATTTCAGTAATGCACTGCTGTTATGTGATATTTTTTCAGTGTTTTAAAAATTAGTACAGTGTATAATTCTACACTAGTTTCCATAAAATACAGAAACAATGCATCTGATGTTTTGTAAATTGGAAATAGTAGATTATAGAACTATTATGCCGATCTTTGTATCCGCTTTATCCCAAAGACATCCTGTAAAGTAACTGTGAGAGTCAGGGCTTATGACAGTTATGCATGAATCTATTCTTAGAACTGTCCTAATTGTTCATAGCCGATATGAATTTATGGAAACCAATTCTGTAATATACTTTTCTTTTAAATTGTCAGTTGCCAGAAAGAATTAGTTATTTGACAGCATAAGTGATAAGTGAATAGAAAAAACATTTGAAACACAGAGGAGAAAAAACCCAAACTGTTGCTCAGAACAATGATTAAATGTGATTAGAGGTCCCTATATTTTCTTTCTTTACAAGATGGTTATTGACATACACATACTGTTGGTGTTGGCATTTTTCCTTTGAGCGGCATTTATTCACGGTCATTCTCCCCTACTGTGGCACCCGATACCAAAGAAACAAAGGGAGTATAGGACTTTATTTGAACTTTTAGACAAATTGACTGATGTTTAGTTTCAATTAACTTCTTATTTCTATCTGGGGGTTATGGAAACAAAAATTGTTTCATTTAAATACCCTGTAGCTCATAGAAACGTTAACTTACGCGCTCTTTCTCATATCTTCCTTTTGAAAAACAAGGAAGCAGATGAAAACAAGAAAGACTATAAAACCTAAATTGTTTCTGAAAGAATTTCCTTTACCAGCGTGTCAAGTTTGGGCTCTGTAGATTTGGGTGGGTTTGTAGTCTTGTCTGACTTTAGGTGTCTTAAAGCAGGATGTCCGAAGAGTGATCCTTATGATTTACTTTCAACATCTGTTTTATGATGAGATTAATTCCCTCAGGACATGTCTGTCTTTCCTTTGACTGGTAAGGGACACCTCAGGGTGGTGAGTTCAGACTTTGATACCTAAGGAGATATGTATGTTCTGTCACTGGTGTCTTTGAGGGGCCAAAGAGGGTTTCTCTGAATGAATCTGCCAAAGAAATGCCTGACTATTTTGACAAAAAAGCATGCTGGACTCAACCAGAAAATCAGAATTATTTTACTTTTTCACACACAAGCTGGCTGAAAAAATTCATCTGATGGTTCAAAACCCACAAATGTGTATGGGAAGAACATGGCTTTCTCTCCCTATGTTCCCATATATATCTTCTGGTTGTGAAATGTAGGTCCCTGGCTCCACAGTGTCATGTTTGAGTCAATAGTTCAATTATATGTTTATAAAAATAATGTCAAAATATCTTCTGTTATGTTCTAATATGTCTGCATCTGGCACAAAGGCAGCGTGTCTCAATTGCAGAAGCATCTTTGTAGCCAGTACCTACCAAAGAACAAGAAGATAACAAAAAGGCAGGAGTACAAGCAAAACCAAAATGTCTTGACATCGTCATCCTCAAAAGGCACTGTTGCTAACTGAACATACGTAATGGAGGCTGGAAGGTGATGTCTGCTGGCAAACACATTTTGCCTGCAGTGGTTGGACTATCAGTCATTGTACAGTGTGAAATAAAACTTGTAGTATTGTGCAACAAGATAGTTAACAGTTTTGATACAGAGAGATAGAAAATTATATTCTGACTATAAGAGAAGAGATTAAAAAAAAAACTTATGCTGACTGAGCTAGGCTCAATTTCAAATTTTCGTCAAAAGACAGGCTTCAGATATGCACTCGGTTTTCTTTGTATTCAGTAAATGAGAACTGGTGTCCTCCAGTGTTTGTATAATACTGAGAGTGATACCGCTAATTTCCATTTATTTAGCTCCCTGGAAACCACAAAAAGATTACATATGAAATGAAATACATCAGTTTAAAATTACAGAACAGGAATTGACTTGTATATTGTTATGCAATCGAAGTGCATACTCTAGAAATGCATTGTTGAAAGGGACTTAATATCGCACTGTAATCGGTGAAGTCATGAATCTGTAAAGACCGTTCGTTTCTGAACATGGGTTCCTCTCCAACTTGAGTCACTTGAGTTGCATCTGTCGTAAAAATTCATCGGTTTTAGCAATAGCCTCAAAAACCAGAGGATTTATATTAAACCCAAGGTTTAGTCTAATCAATCCTGAAGCTGAAGCTCGTATGCTGAAACCTCAATATGATAAATTCAACCTAGACTTGGGAACTAATTCTTCTATGAACTGCTGAGGTAGAAAAGGGTTTTACCTTTTTTTTGTTGCCAGTTTGTGTGACAGGCCAAAGGCAATTAGAAAGGGAAGAACCTGCTGCTTCTACCTTTTCTTATTCATGCTCCAAGTAGGAATTTTCAGTTCTGCTGTTCCGATTCAGCTGTGAACTATTGACCTTTTAAACTGTATTAATTTCTGTGGTAATGAATACTGATCACTGTTCTTTACCATCTATTTTGTTAAAGAATTTTATGATGTATCCAATAGGTCACATAACTTTTAAAAAAACCTATGCTCTGGGAGAGTCTATGAAAAGGCTCCAAAATCGTGTGGTCTATAAAGATCCATGTGTTGCCAATACATCCCTAATTGGTGCAATTTTCAAGGGACTTGTAGGCAAAATTTTTAATGGCTTTAGCAGGGATTAGATTTTACCCAAGACCTTTTTCAGACTTGGTTCAACTGAAAATGGAGTTTCACAGTGTTCTATTGAAGTGCTGCCAAAAGGAAAAAAAAAAAAAGAAAAGAAAAAAAGACGGAAGCGTTAAGTCTTTGTAACAAAAGAATAATAATAAAAAAATACATTACAGTTAGTTATCTTCTAGGATATAGCTTAACAGAGTCTTTGGGGATTTATCCTCCCAACTCAGTATTTGTCCCTCTTGCGAATTGCATTCACTGTGGCAGATTTTTATATAGTGAGTGCAATGATACTTCTTTTCCCTTTCCTCTTCCATAATTTTCTTGGGAGACACTGCAACAATTGCACATTTATGCTTCTTACCTTGAAGCTAGCACTTGACAGAGAAGCAACAACATGAACTTCATCAGACAGGAACGACAGGCAACTTAGGTACGGTTGCCAAGCAGGAGGTGACAAAAAGTTAGTCTTAAATTTATCTTGAGAATGCCCTTAAGAGCTTGCAAGATTTATGTCACAGTAGCTTCACTGTATTCCATCATGGTACATTTTCTGGGTAAAATAACATATATCTGTGAAATTAATGAGATGCATATGTTGATGGTGAAAGCATGGCAATGACATGAGAGCAGTAGGTTTAAGAGGTCTGCAAACTGGCGTATGGCACAATGTATGTGTTTTCCTGAACTTAAGCCTTTATTTTGAACAAGGTTCAAAAGTTCAATTGAAATCGTGATTTTAATCATATGCTTAAAATGTAATGCCTAGTGAAAGAAACGGCTACTAAGAGGAATATATCTGTCCTCAATTTCGCTGGAGAAAAGAGAACAATGATCCCTTGTCATTACAGCGCTGAAGTTTGGGTAATTATATAGGGATTCTGTAAGTCACTAGGTAGAGGGAGAGGAAAAAAGTACAAATCAGGAGAAAAATCAATTAGAATAATATGATCTGTTCTACTTCTGGGAAGAATAAAATGTCACAGGACTACATTCAGTGTTTCGTAAGTTATTGAAATAAATTAGTAGCACATGTCTCATTTTTCTGGAGGAAGCTACCACCAGTAGGAAC